AAGGAATGGAGGTCGTTCACCTGCCTACCTCACTGTTTCCACTCTGGCTTTTTTCCATCTCATTTTACTAAACTAGATTCATACACAAAGAGGGACTTTAAATTCAAAAGTTGTTCTCTTCTTTTCACATTCTCATTTGTAATGTAATAGAAAAAGTAATGTCTTGCTAAGTTTAATGATTATTAATGACTACTAATTCTGAATACTATCACTTACCATGTTCTTAGGACTTTCATTTAATCATTCATTCCTTCATGTATTCAACCAACATTTATCACTATGCATCAACGAGTGTCCAAGGAGTTGCAATAAGAAAGCAAATAAGATAAGTGAACTTACTGTCTAGTAGAGGAAATGGCCGTGTAACAACTCAAATATTGCATGACATCTGCTGCAACCAAGGTTGAGGAAGGGAAACAAATTAATTTTGGTTTACAGGTCAGGGAATAATTCAAAGAGAAGGTAATGGTTGAGCATTTCCCTTCAATAAACTGGAAAGACATTCCAGGCATAGGGGAAAGCAAGTGAAAATGCATGTAGACCCCAAGCAGTAAGTAGTTTTTGGCCTGTACTGCTTCCCTTTCAAGGGCTTTTGCTTAGGGGTCCTAATCTCATCCCAAGCGCAGACTAGTAAAGATATTTCCTTTCTTGATAAATTTTTCTGTTCTAACATTGGAGTTTACAACTTGTTTCATGTTTCTTAAGCAAATAACCTAAATGCAATTCTTATTTTCCACAACGTAAAAATACCAAAGATTAATATTTTATTTTCCAATGTCACTAAAATATACACTTTGTCCCCAATTCTAAAGCTGAACTTTCTAAATAAAGATATTTTGATAGTTCTAGTCTCATCTAGATATTCTCCACAATTCATTATCTACAATCTTCGGGGCCAGGTGCATGGCAGATTTTAGCTTTTTTGTTTTTTTTTTTTTTTTTGGATTTTGGAAAAGTAATATGGTACATATGCAACATTTTGCATAACATCCCCAGCAAGGTGTGGGGCAGCACCCTAGAATCAAACACATTAGTGTCTCTGCAGTAAACCTTTAACTGTTCACTCTAAGAGGAAGAAGTAAAGATTATAAATAGCCT